GCCATAAAAACCACTGTATGAAGGGGATATCGAAGCCTGATCTTCACCTCTGAGGGGGAGGAAACGCTTGCCTCGTCAACTAAGAACCTTCTCAATCAGCGTGCCGTAATAGGTTTGACAGCGTCATATCTTGTGGTAATTGGAGGTATGCCCACCGGCCAGGAGGATGGCTTTATTTTTTCCTTTCTCCTGCATCAGTGGTCTGTCCGAGGGTTTATGCCTTCTGATTCTGGCTGGTGTGGTGTATTTGTGCAGTTATGCGTTCTGTGTTTGCGCTACACCCTTTCTCTACACCCACAATTCAGAAAATATGCGAATAGGAATTATCCACTTTATTTCGAAATTCCAAAAGTACAGCGTCTAATTTTAATATTCTATACGTTATTTTAATGTTTTATTGATCAGGAACGCGTGTTTTTACACAGACGTGCTATGTGTACGTCTTGCTCAGGTATACGTGCAGACGGTGTGTTTAGGGTTATCCTGGGCTCTTCTGTTATGGTGATCATTTTTTGTGTGTGCCTAGGGTCAGATAGGATTAAGGCGGCCACGACGGACATGGGTCGGGGCTCCTGGCAGTGTTCTTTCAATCGCCCTGCCACAAAGCTGGAGCACCAGAGGAGGTCCGTACTAGATTCAAAGGCGCGATTGACGTCCAACCATGGTGCAATTCTGTCCAGCTCGCCAAAACGACGGGATTTTTTTTATAAATATGCTTGAACCTGAGCAGTCGTTTCACAAAAACCTTGTAAAGGCTCTCAAGATTGGCCTAAGAATGATTACATTCCTCACAAATTTTCCATTAGTTCGAAGTTGAACATGACAATATCTCAAAATAGGAAGCTGAAATTACCACACAGAACACAACGCCACCTTTGTATTCTCAAAGTTCAAACTCCAGTTGGTGACTATAGTTAATTTCCCTTGAATGTAGTTACATTTATACGGTTTACCATTCTTTGACTTTTTCCTTCTGTGGGATAAAGCTGAACTGTTTCCGATTGCCACCTAAAAGAAAATCCTACGACAAAACATGATCATTTCGTTGACAGCTACCCCTCGTAGTCACACTGTTAAACATCGCAGTCAAATATGGATACACACAACTTCGAAATGTTTGACCAAACCTTTAAGAATGCAGGTTTGGCAAATCTACACCTTACATTACTTTAAATCAGGCCTGTATCGTAATACAGGTTAGTGTATAACTGGGGATATTAGCAAGAGCCAAATACCAGCAGATAAAACGGAGAGGACTAAGGTCCAAGGCTGAATAATCGAGAGCGTATGCATACCAAACCTGATTTTTTTCATTTTTAAAAGGGGCGTCTCGCATAATAAAAAATTAAACTGATTATGCAGACGCAATAGGAGGTGATGTCTTGGTAGGACAGGGTATTTAAGTAACCTTCTGCGCTTAATTTCAAAACGTACTCAAAGACAACAGAGTGCTAATATTTAATAGACTACTTCTCCTAACCTTTGATTTCCCATCAGAGTTTTCGTCAGTGGGATTACGAATGAACCTCTCATGCCCTTAAATGTGCTGGTATACAACGCAAACTCCCTTCGAAATCTACGGTTTTTCTTTCTGGTTATTTCAACCGCTCCTATTTTCCTTCTTTTGCGTTGCCTAGCATTTGGTGCAGTTGTTGGTTACTAATTTGCGAAAAAAGCAGACTGTATTGTTACTTCAGGCCAAATAAACTACTAGACACCTTAAACAGGGGTTGTCTGCGATTTTATATAGGTGAATAAGAGCCATGTTGAGTGACCTTAGCAGGTATTGGCGGTTGCTGAGACGTTTCTGATATGAGACAAGGCATAACAGGATTTTAGAGCTCTATTTTGGCTTTGTATCAGTCTCCGTGTGTCGTTTTTATGGGTCCCTTTAAATATAAACTCGCGAATGCTTCTTACAGCTAAAAAAGGATAGCAGAGCTAGATGCACCTTTTCAATATCTTAACCATTGTTTTTTTACTTTGGGGATTCAGTAAATCAATGGGACAAATAAGGACTTTAATTTTAACAAGTGGTTTGCAAGGCAGTATAGTGAAACAACTTTCTGTGAATTTAACTTCGTAACTGCGTCCGAAGGAGGATCCTTTCGTAGTACTTAATTCATCTGCTTCACGGATTCTAGCTTCGTGCCTTTAGGTAAAATATGAAAACCTGAGTCAGTGCTCCTTCCCATCATCCTCAACTCTAACCTTCATTCGTCAGTTAAGCGCGAACTAAGTTTTCCCTGAGAGGGTTTGTCTACATCACGAAACATAACGATGAGGTTTTTGGCCAAACCACGCATGCAAAATATTGGCTCATAGGAAGTGAACCCAAGGGGTTTGAGCTCCAAGTGGACATTTTATTTTTATGATTAAGGATAGGGGATTCCGCCTGCGTCTGTAAAATCAGTGTGCACATTTAGTTACCAAAAGTGAAGCACACATTTAAGCTGTACTCCAATAGGCTTGTTGTGTTGTCCTTGTAGATGCTCGCAGTCGTTCAGGTATCACTTCTAGTCGCCGGAATTGCCGCTTTCCTTTGGGCCGTGCCTTATGAAGATGGTGGCCTTCTGGACGAGTTCTTCAAAGTCAACCAGTCCAACTCCTCCCTTATTGAGCTCGTGGACCTGCAGTTGACCTCGCAATATCTTCTAAGTCGCATGGAACGAAGGCTCTTTCAGCCAGACGGAGGTGTCAACTTGGAATTACTTCAATTCCTACCGGTAGATCTAGGCGGTGGTGAACAGGGTGTTGCCGCGGCGCGCAACTCTCCCAACCGTAGTCCCTTAGTCAGCATTCTCATCATCACAATTCTCGTGCTCACCGGCCTTTGCTGCATTGGGATGTTAGTGCTAACGTGTGCATGCTGCTGTCACTGTAATGATTCGTGTTGCAGAAAGGGGAAGACAAAAGGATTTCCTCAAAAACCGCTCGATGCAGCCAGGGTAAGACAAAACATTAATATGAATATAGGGCAACAGTAGCTTATGTAGGCCCACCCATTAATCCCTACTCCCTGTATGTTTTCCTACGAAAACGGTGGTTTTAGGGTTTTATGGGTGGGGAATTAGGACACGCAGTGGAATATACCTTAATAAATGCTAAATGCATTTTTATTTAACTATATTTAGAACTGTTGTTGATTTTCACTGTAGATTTTCCTAATCTGTATTATCGTTTAACTTATTACGGAAAAGCACGAATATCAAATTGCAGGTTTCTTAAATTTCCTGAAAAATTGAAATGGTGGTTAGGAGGTCGTCTACTTCAACTTATCTGAGGTTCAACTTATCGTTCTGGAGTTAGATTAGTATAGTCCACGGCGTGAAGCGCGGCGCACACCTTCAATTTACATGCGGATCAACTTACTTCCAGTGGCCGCGGGAAGCCAATTCAACTACACTTTTTTCACTTTACACTTACTTCTACAAATAATTTCTCTGCCTATCCTATTTCCCCACCCCCAAAACTCTGTAACCACCGTTTATGCAGGACAAAATGCTGGGACTATTGGTATATGAGTGGGCCTACATAAGCTACTTTTGCCGAATATTGTAGATAAAAAGGGGCGATTCGTGTAAATGGCGCCCAAAAATACACAAATATTTATTTGATACTTTGAGGTATAACGAAAGTAATGCGTGTTAGATGCCAGTGGTTCGCAAGCAGAAGATCATCTCCCTTAGCTCCCTCCCCCCTGAAAACAAACGACTAGGCCTAAAGTGAAAATTCTCACTTGGTGAGTGAATTTGATCATGTGGTCATACTAACTGCTGAAGCGACATACTTTAATCAACAAGGATCATTACCACTGGCGCTGTATCAGTATCAGTTTACCAGTTCATATGGTCCCAGTTTGCGTGAAGACACCAGATAAGACATTCATGGCTACTAACATGCTACTTTATTTAGGCTATAACCTTTGTTTATTATTAAATTGGGTCAACTGAAGTAAGCAAGTCTGCCAACCCCCTAACAATTAAGTGAGCCTAGAAGTCGTTCTGGTGGATTCTAGATGAGCGCTTAGGAAATCCTGCCTAGGCAGTCAGCTTGTTGTTCCGTAATGGTGGATTCCATACGAGTAGTAAAATAGTCGAGTAAAATCGATCCAAGGGTGACTAAATTAACGGCTGACCGCGAGCCTCGTAGCTCAATGGTGGAGCGTTGGCTGCGCGAAAGCCTTCCTTTCTGTTTGGGTCAACGGAATCGTTCAAATCTGCCAAACCCTCCTAAACATTAAATTGTCATTACCATGTCCCGATTGCAGGTGACTACAGCTAAGGCTCCAAGAATAACCTGAACGCAAGCACTTCCTTCTTTATTCTAACCATTTATATCAGTCTAACTTCCACATTTAGCCTGAATCTGCTGTCTGGGAAAAAATTATGGAGGTAAGGGGAATGAAGTTGCGTTTTGGACAGTGTCTCATCTGAAATACGCACTTAAAGTGCTGGGTAGTATTGACTTGAAAAAAGGATAGTTTGGCCAGCAAAAAGCCACCAAATATCGCTGTGGTTTAATTATTTCGCGGAAAATGCCTTTAACGGTTAACCGTAATGTATAGAAGATGTAAAGAACAGACTAATAAAAGAAAATTTTGTGCGTAACTAACATTTGGAACATACTACATTTTTTGTCAGTAGGCGCAAATTTAATGGGCTTTCCCATAAATACCAACCAAATTCTTCCTTGGACCAAAATTAACTGAATAGCACATAGAAATATGCGGCATGCAATTCGCTTATTTAACTACGATTTCGCTTTTGCGCATGAGAAACTAAATTTAAACAAAACTTGATAATTGCTGCTTTCCCCACAATTAATATTCACAGTTTTTCATTTAATCACTTAAATAACTTTCATTACTGAAGACACAACCTAAGGATAAAATGGAAATTCCGCATTCGCTCTTGAACATGCCCACCGTCGCACTGTTCTGACTTCAGTCCTCTTCATTATAAAAGCCAGACACGACATTTCATTAGCCAATTTCTCAAAAGGTTTTCTGTCTTGAAAGTAGTGAAAAATATGTCCAATGTTAAGGGTTTTTCCCCCATAAAGCATCCCAAGTTGATACAACAGATTCCAAGGCCATCAACTTTCATGTGAATTTCTCAAAAATCAGAAAGTGAAGAATAATGTACGACCCTTCAGAAATCGCTCAAAACTGAATGAAAGCTACCTCGGGCTTCGAATCTCAGATGTCTAGACTGGAATTTGAGAACCTCTGTTCGATGTTTATAAAGAAGCCAGTACTGGCTAATCCATCGTCCTAGTAAATTTGGTAAACGCTTATCAATCACTAAACAATGTAGTGTGTAAGCATAGCATTGAAACTCTCACAACCTCAAAAAAACATGCGGATTCCTAGTAGATATTATGCTATCTTGCGTTACCGGCCAATATCTGACAGTACTGTAAAAAGGCCAAAGGTAACTGTTACATTTATGTTGCACATAAAAGTGCGGCAGTAAAAGCATAATTCTTCACGATATAACTTATAGGTTACAGTCCATGAAGTAAGAAATTCAAAAAGCACTTGGACCATGCAATGGTGGCAGTCCAATATGTTGTAAGAGTTTACAAAGCAAAGGGCTTTGCGGGACGGCCATTCTGCGCTCTAACAAAATTGACGTCTTGCTCCGCTTATCTTCTTAACAGAAGACTCGTCGAAAAAACTGTCGGTAACACCTGACATGATAAAACTTGTAGAAACCACAATGTCCGCCGATCTCACTTCGTCGATTCAGTTTCCTAGCAGCTGTAGTTGAAATCCGTGCGTGAACTGTTGACAGAAAGTTAGGACGCTAGTAAAATCTCCGTGAAAGCCGAACTGTTTATGAATGAATTAAAACGCTCGAGTACCAGGCATTGGCACGGATAAGGAAGAAGACTTGTCGAGAACCGCATCAATTGGGTTTATTGTCCTTAGCTTTCGAACTCTTACAGGAGTCCAACTTCAGAGATAAGAAGCAGCAACCAAAAGGAAGGTAATTATAGTGGCCATAGGTCAATCGACTGTCAGATGTCATCAGGTCGTCAAGGGGTAAGCAACAGCAATCAAAGGGAATGGGAGGCAGATATAGAGGTAGACACGAATGAACTATCAGTTAAGTCCGGGGTTGTTCAGGTCATAAGCAGCAATTAGTGTAGCGCCTTGTAGAGGATCCTGGTAATCCTGCTTCCTCTTACGGCTGGTTCGTCGTGGGTTTCTCTTAGCTTGCAATTCTTACGTTCAGTTTGGCCCTGTTTTGTCCCTCGCTCACATAACGGCGTAAGACTTTGTAATCCACGGGAAGGCCTAGATGCCTGCTGACTTAGTTGGTGTTCGAGTACCACGCCTCAAGCGTCAGCCTTTTGGCTTTTGAAGTTCCTTGGCCTACGATGGTCACGCCTGGAATATCGAAGTCGTGGCCAGTCTCTCCGATGCGTGCTGCAAGCTGCAAGTTTGGGCCTAGTCTCTGAGCCGCTACCTTGTGCCTGTGTAGCTGGGTCTACAATTTTCGGCCTATTTCTCCTGAATTTATTACGGAACTCCCAGATCGTTCTTTCAGAAAGTAGCTCAATTACTTTCCTGAAGTGTAGAGTCAGCGCACCTTGAAACGATCGTAGATGTAATAAGGAACCTTCAAGTGGTAGGATATTGAGCAAATACAATGGCTAACCACGGCTCCCGACACAGAGAGGGAAGTTAACGAGATGATTATCAAGCTAACGATGCAATGATTGAGCTGGGCCAATGCACATGCAGGTTGGAGAATGCGCATTGAGCATAAGAGGGGTAGCTTGAGCTTGGAGCAAGGTTTGACCCTACAGCCTCTGTAAAGGTACAACTGAAGTCACAGGCAGAGGGAGTGCTGGTATGAGCAAGTCAACCGCTATGTTAGTGGGTACGTTGGCATATTAGAAAAAGGAGCATGTTTTACGCAATGTTTGCCGTCAAATACTAAACCAGGCAAATCCACGATTGATCTGACTAAAAAGTTGAGATTTCGTGCAGTCTCGAAAGTTTGTTATTGTATCGGTTCTTTTTACAAAGAGTACAGTAATTCCTCCTCTGGTTGGCGGTTTGATTTTCTTGGGTTTTCTTCTGGGATAATTTCTATGGAGTTTCAATATTTCGCAGGATTTTAATATTTGCATTCTTATGTATACTAAAAAAGGTACAGTATGGTGTTTAACAAAATATGAAGTGTTTATAACAGTGCTGAAAGACTTACTACGGTTAATAAGAGTGTTTGAAGGTTGTATTGAACTTAAAAATATACATAGTACATCACAGAAATTTGTTTGTGGCGTGAGTCTCAGAATGACTTCACCGTGCCATTCATGGGATTACTGTACATCTAATGCTGTGGAACAAGCTAGTAGGACCACTCAGACGACAGATTCAAAAATAAATCTTCAACCAAAACATGCAGGCCATTTCTAGAGCAGTGAAAACGGCTCTCTTACATGCCTTACGTTTTTCACTAGAGTAGTCGCCGGTTATTAAGCCCACCTCGGGCCCAGACCGAATTGGGCTTAATAAGCGGCTGGGCCTATTAACCGTGGCTTAATAACCGGCGACTTCTGTACCATCAGTACCATCACCCTTGATTAGCTGTCAACGTAGAAAAGGCTCGCAAATATACCTTAACTCGAAGTTCAGACATCTGTCACACTATTCTCTGCCACGTTTGCCAAAATACTCTGTGTCGACATGCTATAGGCTCTCCTACCATTGTGCTAATTTACTGATATATGACAGTTCGATCGTCGCTCTCGCCGATGTCCACCGCGACCTTCAGATAGCTGAAGGCAGATGCGGTGACCACAGCTGGATTATGGTAAAAGTAAGTTCGCCGGATCTACCCCTCTCTCTAATCACTCCCACACCTGAGCCCAATGTCAAGACAAAAGTCGAGAAGATCGGAGATGGGAAAGGGCGCAGGCGGTGTACGCGAACACATTCCAACACGCGCCATAAAAACACCACCATGCCATGTAGGCTCCTGCGTGTCCAAGTTGTCCCATCAGTTGGAGACCCTCAAGGCCACGGCTTTTAGCGCACCGTGATAGCTTCAAGCGCATCAGATTGTTTTTTAGTAAGGAGGGTTAAGGGTTGACCTCATTCTCTCCCCCACCACCAGCAACAGACCACCGCCTAGCTGATTGGTCGCCTGAGGTGGGATGAGCGCAGTGCTAACAAAGAAAACAAGCCGGAGGTGAGCATTGTAGAGCTGTAATGCATGCGTAGTAGGTCACAGCGTTCTCAACCACATTCCCACAAACCTACAAAAAAGTGGCAAGCCACGAGATACTCACTCTTACAGGCATGACTTAGCGCAACTAGCTTCCACCAAGGCCTAATTCCTGACCGTTGCTGCCTGCAATAACGGCTCAGATTTCCGTACAGCATAAATCCTTAGTTTCTGGCTCTTTCAGCCAGACGGAGGTGTCAACGTGGACTTATTCCGGTGCAGATATGTCCATCTTGGAGAGAAGCGGTGTCAGAACGGGTTGGTCAGGCAGAGTCATGAGAAGCAGCTTCTCCAGCAGCACAGCGGCGTAGTTGTGCACCACGGGCGAGGCCGCGGCCAGGAAGTTTGGCACTAGATTCACCGGGACGGGTATGGTGGTGGAGGGCAGGAGACGGCGGAAGGGGATGGTGTAACGCAGGCATTCGGCCTTGATCACCGACAGCTGATCAACTGCAGGATTTTGCAACTCGGGCAGAACGTAACTTTCGAAGAAGGTTGGAATGTTAACGAGCTCGGAGGAAGAGGTGACGCCAAGCTTTATAGTCTTACCACGTGATGCCAGGGAGGTGACCAGCAGGAGGAGATCATGATGTCATGGGATCTTGTGGTTGCTACCTAGATAATCATTTAGGGATCCCATGTAAACAAAAAACGCGGACTTCTTTCTTAACGATTAAGCAAGTCAAACACTTAGTTTTACATTTTAATGGAGAGCGCTTTCAATCTTGAACATTGTGCATATTCCAATGAGGTTTATATCCAAAGAAAACCTGCTGGAATCAGTAAGGAAACTTTGAGTGTTGCGCTTCTTCCTCAGACGGTAAATATTTTTCTCAAGGTGACATTAACGTTGACAAATATCAGCTCAATAACGTCTTATATCAAACCGGTTAAAAGAATCAACTGTGACTGCCAGAATATAGCTGAGAAACCAAAAACACCTTCTGTAAATTCAAGCAGAATGAAAGAATTCATTCATTGGATTGCTATGTTAAGTCGATATAATGTGCGTTTTAAGGAGTGAATGCCTAAAAAGGCTGTGTTGCAAAAGTTACCAGTTGTTCAGTTAAAGGACTCTGTTTCTTTAATCCCGTTCTGTAATCTCAGAGGAAGATTTTAAACAGAGACTGCTTTCCTGTGTATCTTTTGGTCATTTGGACCTGTGTAATCTGCTGCGCAGGTTGAACAAGTGGATGTTTGTCGACAATGCGGAGAAGGTAGACACCAGTGTGTCTCGAAGCAGACGAAACGGAAAAATGAGCAGCTGCCTCCCCCACCCATCTTGTCAGAACAATGCGTTCTGTGCAGGCTGGGGGGAAGATCAGACTCTTTTTGATACAGTTCCTGATCGTAGGAAGGTGATAAGCCGCTCCTAGGTAACATGGTCTCAGCCGACACCCAGGTAATGAAGTCACCACGTTTATCTGCCTTCGCCAAGGGACGCGCAAGTCTTCATAAAGTGGAGACATTCAATCAGATGACTGATCGCAGGAAGGCTATGTAGTTAGCACAATAAACTGCAAAAAATAGTCATTTTATGGGACAGTGCGGCGGGCAAGGTCTCAGACGGTGTAGGGAGGGACCAATGGGAAGTCTTAAAACGCGTCCGTGACTTTTTTCCCATGTTTGTTACCTGCATTGGGCGTAACGGTGCAGGAAGTATATACTGCAGGCCTCCACCCTGCGAAAAATAGAAACAGTCCAGACAGTAAGGGAAAGTTGACACGTTGTTTTAAGGGATTTCGTCCTGGAAAAAAATGAATAGGTTGGTAGATTGGGATAGACCATTCGAGGACGACAGTTTCTATTTTTGCGCCAATCAGTGGAGTCAGGGCTTCCTCCTCCGTTCCTAAATTAGTGCTACCTGCGATAGTGGGTGAACGCGAAACATAGGTCTCTGTCGGTTTGATGTTATTTATGAACAGTAAGTGATCAGTACTCGGGATGCTGAAATCAACATCAGGGGTTGCTGGAATTCTTAACTTTCTGCATGTAAACAGCTGCGGACCTAGTGTGGATTTTGGAGAGCTGGTCATCCACAATATGACGCTTACTCCTCTATTCACCTCCCTCCCCCGCTTGTTCAAACGCCGGTCAGACACCAGTTTCCATGGAGTCTCAAGCCCTTATAGACAGTTTCTTCGGGCGCGAAGGTCCGCAGTCTGGCCTACGCCTTGTAGCGCGCCTTCATCGTTTTCTGTTGTTTTTCGATGACTTGATCATGCTTCGAAGGATGAAACAGATGAAATCGTGTGCGCAACTGCCACTTTCATATCAGTTCTATTAATGGTGAACTGGTTGACTCATTCAGTGTTATGTGGTAGCTAGATAAAAAGCGTGACAGCTTCGTGGGTAAGTCCGCTCACGACGGTTTGGCTAACCCGCGCCTTACGGTCTGATGTGCGATCTCTGCGAGGCCATTAGAAGGCGCGTGGTAGGGTGTATTGGCTAAGCGCTGATACCGTTTACTACATAGACTCTTAAAATTCTGCATAAGTGAAGGCCGGATCATTGTCCGAAAGGACCATTTAAGGTATTTCAAAAGTAGAGGGAACCAACCTAACTTTTTGGCTGTGGCTATTGCCAATGGGAATCTCCTCTGTTTATTTAAAATGAATGCCAACCACAACTAAATTCATCTGTCTATGAAATGTGTAATGTACGCAAAATGGAAAACCAAATGTATCCATTACGTGTACTAGGAATGGGGTTCACTCTTGATCCCCTCCTTGCTAGTCATTTTGCGGCATAGGCGTTGATAAGGAGGACGAATTTGATCCTGCGTAGCGGCCATCTCATGACCGTTACGAAACCATTCATCGTCTTTTAGGCAGGACAGCCAGCTCACAAAATACGTCCTGGCGACGAAGGCGATTCCGTCTACTCGTCGTACCGCATTTGAAAATCAACTTCCGAGGAAGATGCATCTAGCATCCCCCCCTCTC